GAGTTGATTGAGCTTCAGCGGCAGCGAGGGCCGCGTGTAATTTCGTCTTCTAGTTTAAATGTGCAGAACATTTCGGTGGCATTGACGTTTGTATCACTAATTTTATCAAACGAGCAAACGAAGCCGCTAGAAACTGCGAAGTTCCGGAGCAGTGCCAGCAGCTCCACGTACACTGGGTATGATGGCCGCTTCCGGATTGCGGGACTCGCGCGGCACGGAACTACAGTCCTACAGTTGTGAAACCACGCGGAACTGTGTCAACGTTTTCGACGTTATGGAAACCGCAGGAACTGCGTCCAAGACAGGCAGGTTTTGCTGCCGGCTGCCTGGGTGCCTTCCATGCTGAGTTCGGTTCTGTTTTCCGATGCCGAGTGCAACCGGCGTTCAACGTGGTTCTGTATTTGTGCGTGTCAGCAACATAGCTGCAACATCGTGATGGCAGTGTTGTGGGTTGTGAACAGAAGACAGGAATTATCGCTGATGTGACCGTGTGTTCGCGTATCAGTGGTGTAACAACAAGATGAGATCGTAAACTGTCGGGCATTGATGCCGCCGGTCGGGCCGTGATCGGAGGGGGCGGGGTGTCGCAGGTTGACATTCCGCTTTACATTAAAAAGTTTAATACCACTTGGGGGATTACGTGCAATCGATCGACGTGCGGATTGTCATGTTAGAACGCTGGTCTGAACAGTATAAGCTCCTGTCGTACAGTGGCTAATGTGACTGTCAATTGTCTCGTCCCCGAGAGCGATTTCGCTCTGGGGCAAGGACAACAGTACGAAATCGTGACGGAAAGTACGTATATTAAGAGTGTGGAATTTTAGCATTAAAAAACAATAGTAGGTAATGGTTGAAAAAAAAAAAAAACCCGAGACTGCGGGTAAACGACACAACACGAAAAAGTCTCTCAGTATGTAAAGTAGGTAAAATGAATAAAAAAAAAAAGCTACCCTTTATTTTACTGTTTAAATGTACTACGGTTCCTGGAGAAACTGCCCTCCAAGTGGCGCGCTGGGATGAGCGCTAGAAGTTTTCGGACTCGCCACGGCGTAGCTCCGTACACTTAACACCTGCCGCAAGTCGCGGTTTTGACTGCATTTAAGTTGATCGAAAAGCGATTTCTCGGCCCGTGAAGCATCACTTCCAGCTGAGTCAATATCCGCTCTACAGAGATTAATTCAAGACGGCAATTGCAGCTTTGCGCGAACAGCACAAATTGAGAAACAAACACTACAACAGAAATACAGGCTACGACGTGCCATGCGGGGAAACAAACTCATGGCGTCGAACCACATTGGAGCGGCTTGATTTATTGGCTTTCAAATAATTACGGCATGATCGAGCGTTTGCTTTTTAATAAGAGATTCATCCCCTGAGCCATTCACAATACTCTCAGAGGTGTGACATTGCTGGAAAAAAATCAACATGCTGGGAATATTTTTTATTGCATATTCAGTCACCGAGAAATTCCGTCCGGTCAAAACGACCAGTACAAAAAACGGAAACGAAGAGCACTGGTGTAGTGTTCGGGTTAGTGTGGTGTCTCGTTGTATTAATATTTGTGTGTGCCGCGTATGTGCTGAATGTATGTTCACCTGATGCTTCTAATAAGTGTAATGTGGGTATAGGGAGTATTCTCTGGCGGCCATATCCGTGTGCGCTGATGCTGAGCCCGTGCTGACGGCGAGCTTCCGCAGTCCTTTTGGAGCGTGCATTTAGCACCAAGGTTGCCGGTCTTAGCAGGCTATTAATGTGAGCGCGTTCTGAGCATGGGCTCTAAACATCGCCCTCAAAATGGCGTCCAGTGAATATCTCCTATAAAAGGATCCCCAAGCGCAATAGTAGCCTGAGATCAAATTATTTTTTGTAGAACATGAATTGGGTGGAACCTAGCGCCACCTAGCCTAGCTGCTAACTGTAATTATATGGATAGTCCTCCCTAAGGGAGGACTGTCCTTACCCTTTTTTCTATGAGTGTATGTCAACAGAAGCGTTCCTCAAAGTCTTTTACCACTGCATAACCAAATGTAAATGTTGCATTTTGTAAATGATTTCATAAAAATTTTTAATTATAAAATGCAAGTACAATAACGGTGCGTTCTAAACTCACAAAAAATGTATTGCTGCACTGATCCAGTAATGTGAAGAAAAGTATAAATGTTGAAAATATCTTATAGGTTTCATAATAAATATATTTCGTGATTGACACACATGTTGCATCATTATTATCCACTGGGATTTTATTCGCCTCTTCCTGATAAATTAACTTAGTGCACACCACTAAATGCGCTGTGTTGAACTGGACGAGCATCGCACTGCCCTGCGGCCGCATTGCTCATTTATAGTGCGAACCTGTGTCGCTATGCCTCAGAGGCCTCTCGCTCTGTGATTTTCAACTCTGCCTTTTGCATTTTGTGGAAACAGTTCTAGAATTTCAAATTTTGTTAGGATTGTTTCCGATTTGCATTTTAGCCAGATTTAGAAACATGTGTTTTTTTTTTGCAATCAGACTCTATCCAAACTCTCTCCAAGTTTCCATTTAAGCGAATGTTTAAGAATCTGGGCTTGGCTAATCGGAGACTGTTTGCACAAACTTTATTCGAATTAAATTTCAGACGGTTTCCTCAAGATCCAGTATGGGCTAGTATGGGCCCTCTGCGCAGACTTTATTCAACTCGTTCTTTAGACGCATTCCTCAAAATCCAGGATGGCCTAACAGGAGACTGTTTGGCCGGACCTTATCAGACTTGCGTTTTAAGCGCGAGACACATGCGCGAAAAAAATCATACGATCCGACGTCCGATCCGGCAGTACGACTGCCTGATCCGAAAAATTTGGTCACTTCAGACGTCGTATCGGCGGTCCGGCGTGCGTCCAACGTGCCAGATAGTTTCGCACGGCGGACGGATTGTCGGAAGCGTTCAGCCAATGACGGCACAGCTAGCGCGAACGTCATGATGACGTACTGGGTCTGGCGGGACGAATAAGCAAACGGGAAGGGCGATGGGAAGCCGGACGCGTGGATCCCGCAGACCAATTCGAAAAAGATGGCACCAGCAAAGAATGCACGCGCTATCGAGAACGAGCTCCTAACTTCGCTCGTGCGAGCTAAACCGTCAATCTGGGACCAGAGATCTATGAACGCGGACCTCCGCTGGAGTGCTTGGATCGCCTGGGCGGAGCCGAACGGATCGTCGTGTCGCATGCAAGGTGGGAAGTGTGTGTTTCAAACTGTAAAGTGCGGCAATTCGGAGCGGCGTTCGGACTTTCGAATCGGACGTCGGATCGGAGGATTCTGCCGTCCATGTGTCTCGCGCTTTAGGCAGATTCCTCAAAATCCGGGCTGTGCTAGCCGGAGATTGTTTGCCCTAGCCGGAGGCTACTGTGTCCGGACTTATTCCGAGTTGCATTCTTGCCGGATTTGACAAACTCCAACTTCTTCAAGTCGGAAACTCGCTCTCCGGATTATTTCCAGGCTGAAATTAAGCTGGATTTCATTTTCTGGGCTGATTTCAGGTAGTCTTTTTTTGGTAGGCTACCTCAATATAATTTATAGAAACCAAAGAAAACATGATCGAGAAACAGATGTCAACCAGCTTGCCTATTGACCGACCAATTCTTGTATAAAGCGCGTTCTCAAAACCTTGAAGTTTGCCTAATTGCTATGATAAAATATATAAATTATATTTTATCATAGCAATTAGGCAAACTTCAAGGTTTTGAGAACGCGCTTTATACAAGAATTGGTCGGTCAATAGGCAAGCTGGTTGACATCTGTTTCTCGATCATGTTTTCTTTGGCAAACAAGTTCACGTATAGATAGAAACTTGCGGCTGTTTTATTATTTTACGAAATATAAGCTTGTTTCTTAAACACTAACTAGTTATCCATGTAAAACGTCATTCCATCGAGACTCCAAGCATGGACATTTGCGGCTTAGTCCTCCGATTTAAGTATTTTAAGAAAAATGACTACTGTACGTTAGTCCTACGGTTAAGATCAGAATTATCCAGCGTGTTTCGAACTGCGTTGGGTTAGCCTGAGAGGGAAACACAGTGTCACGTGACTCCATGACGTCCTAATGACGATCGTCACGCCTATGACGTCACTCGAACACCGTTAACTAAAGTTGACGGGACGTGCAGTAAACTAAAACTTGGAGGGGATTACTTGAAGGTTTTCTGTGACAGTTATTGTGCCGTGAGGGTTTTTGTGCCCTGAAATTTTTTTTTTTTTTTCAAGCCGGGGCTCGCATTGCTTCTACATCATGCCAAGAGCAGTCTGCAAACAAGAGTCACCGCAAAATACGTGGTACGAATGCCGCGGGCCAAGTTTCTCCTTCAACTTGTTGCGGAATATGGCAGGAGACGACAACGAAACCAGAAGACCGGAAACCGAGGTTCACGAGAGCCCCCGGGGACATTCTCCTCCAGATATCATTCGGAACCACTTCGTTATTTCATAGGTATAAAAGAAGTGATAATTGATGACCAGGGCCCGTTTGCTCGAAGCTGGTTAACTCTAACCGCGGTTAAAAGTTAACCGCGTTTCCCTACCTAGGTACATCGGAGTACCTAGCCGCGTTCGACAAAAACTCAACGCACAATTTCTCCGTGTTTTATTATTATGCGGTAGCTCCCGCCACCTTCCGGTCGAAGCAAACAATAGCCTTTTAAGAAACGTTTTTGCTAGTTTTGTCTTCATTAAGAAAAATAAAAACAACATCGTATCACAATGTTTCTTTTTATGCATGAAAATATATATGTACTTTAAAAAAATAATAAATATCTTGATGCATCTATTGTGCCGCCAAACACAGCATAAGTTTGCAGCGTTGATTTCGGGTCTGGCAACGGTCTTTATAGATTCGTTGTTTTTGGTTGTTTTGTTCTCCGTGTTTTGCGACGCACGTTTCCCGCGCTTTAGTTATCACCTGATTTTCACTGTTTGTCTTCTCCTGCCGTTTGCCCAACCGACCCTCCGACTCGCTGGCCGACTGACTACCGGACTGACTGACAACTGATTTGCGGACGGATTGGTGAAGATAAGGGACGCAATGTCGACTGTGACGCGACGCCGACATCGAAGAGAGCGCGTGTTCGCCCAGTACGCTGTTGTGATGATGGGACGGCAGCGTGTGTTCCGTGACCGCTTGAACCCTTTGGAGGAGTTCGATGAGGACGAACTGCAGGAGCGCTTTCGATTCGGTCGCGCGGGCATTGTGTTCCTCGCCGACACACTGCGCCCGGACTTGGAGCGGCCGACGCGTCGCAGCCGCGCCCTCTCTGCAGAGCAGCAGGTCATTGTCGCCTTACAGTTCTACGCCACGGGGAACTTCCTCATCACCGCAGGGGACTACATCCGTGTGCACGTCTCCACTGCTTCGCGGACTGTGAGGCGGGTGACTCAGGCCTTGGTACGTCGTGCCCAAGACTTCATAGGGTAAGTGGTCTGGAGCATCTCTGGTGCGTCCCGATATTAGGCGCATGTGCAGGCCAGTTTTCCGAGAAAAAAAGCCTGGGCCTAGATTGCTCGATGAGCAATCACCATTATTTCAGAAACCCTTTGTATATAAATTTCGGTGCGTGAATTGTGTTCGCTGAAACCCCCGAATTCGTTAAAGGTGGTCTTCTCCGCACACCTATTCTGCAATTTATTTACGGCGCACCACCTGCGCAATGACCCTTTCGTTTTTGTTTCCTAAGCTGTAGGCTTGCTAGCCTGAATATCTGCCAGCGCATCGATCCCCACGTATACTGGTACCTCCCTAAAGGATCATTAAGTGTTGCTTCAGCACTCGATATTTGTTTTTTGGTAATGAGCGTGACATGCAGACCAGTGAACTGGGCAGTAAAATTACACGAACCAACTGGAGTGTACAAAATGACTCCCTTAGTACCTATTATTGGTGCAGGTGCAAATTCAACTAATCTACAAATAAAGTAGGAGTGCAGACATTTACAAACAGCCTGGTTTCTGCACTCCCAACTATGCACTTGTTGCTACTGAGCTAGTCTTGCGGCTACTGAGTACTGTCATTGTGCAGACGAGGCTTTTATTGCTCACTATTGATGACGATGAATGATAGCTGTGTTATTTTGAAGCATGTGATCATAACAACAAAACTGTCACTGTTAATGTCATAGTGCTACAGACTCACTCAAATCCATCTACAATGCAGGTGGCCAGGTGAAGCTGAGGGTCATGCCGTACAACAGGCCTTCTTTGAGATCGGTGGGTTTCCTTCGGTCGTGGGTGCTGTTGATGGCACTCACATTCGGATACAGGCACCACAAGTGCATGAGGAGGTGTACATTAACCGCCATCTGTACCATTCAATAAATGTACAGTTAGTGGTTGACGTCTTTTACCGTATCCGCAATGTGGTTGCAAAATGGCCTGGAAGCACCCACGACTCTAGGATATTCACCGAGGGCTCGTTGTCAGGCAAGCTGGCCGATGGCGTTTACGAGGGCCTACTGCTTGGAGACAGCGGCTACACCTGCAAGCCATGGCTGATGACGCCCTTCCTGTCTCCGTCATCAGCAGCGGAGGTCGCCTACAATGCGTCACATAGCACAACGAGGAGCATCGTGGAACGGTAAAGCCAGGCTATGCGTCCTGGTTCGACGGATCAGTGTTTCGGTACCTTGAGGCACCTAACCTTTTTTATGTGGTTGTGCCTGAGCTTTACATTTGTTGCCATTTTTATGTTTTTGCATAGTAGGCTACGGCTGCTCAGAAGCAAGGAGAGGAAGGCGTATCTCTACTATACCTTATTTATACTACGGGCTATAACCTACTGCCATAGCCTGAAATGTTTATTCTAAGGTTAGCCAGCATTGTGGGAATGAAGAACATCAATTCACAAAATTCAACCATTAGCCAGTTAACTCTATATGTCACAATAATTGTTATATTTCATTTGCTCTTTTCTGTATAAACTCCAGAATAGAAGTTAGAACTTCTCTGAAACATATCCTTCCTGTATGACTGGGTTTATTAACCTACAGGTTTTTACTAGCTGTTTACACATTTCAAACAATAGCAGTTAATTTTTTTTGTTACTCTATATTGCCTAAATGTAAAGCAATTCTTAGAAAAAAAAAAACAGCTTGCAATGTGAAAAAAAAAACACTGGCTTAGGCAGGTTTTGTTTTTAGACAGTTTGTGTACAGACTTATTCAAGCATATCTTATTAAATACTGCTTATCTCAAACTGCAATTTTCCTTGCAAGTTTTTGCGAAGAACATTTTCATTGTATCTGTGATGGGATTGCTGCGCCATTTGCGCCAAAGTGATTACCCTGCTACGTCCTGCTACATTTAACAAAAATGTGAGAAATTTGCACTAACGTAGCACCAAAACTTATTTTCATTTTAATAATACTGAAAATATAATAGCTCGGGCTTCGCTGCCCGGCCGGACCGTCACGATATGCTTACGCAAGTTTTCAGGTTTTCAAAACTTTTGATTATAGTCTCGTATACGATACCATTCCATCACATTTCGTATGAATGACAGGCAATATCTGGAAGTTTCGCAATAATTTTTATGTCAGTCGTCTGTTCATTCTGGAGGGTTAGCTATAGTCCGTTGCAACCTAAGAACGAAGGGCGAGGGTAAGACAGGCCGGGGAGGAGGAAGCAGACGGAACGCTAGAGAAGAGAGGGGGAAACCTCCTTCTCTCTTTAGCGTTCCGCCTGCTTCCTCCTCCCCAACCCGTCTTACCCTCGCCCTTCGTTCTTAGGTTGCAACGGACTATAGTGTCGTTGAATGCGCTTTTCACCACGCACCGGTGTACTGCAAAGAAGCAAACACCACGGAGTAGGCATCGCAACTTTGTATGTCTTGCTTCTCTGCAGCGGACCCTGTGTTAAGGAGAAAGCTCTCCTCCAAAGTGAGACTCAACACAATTCCTGAACACAACTTCGGCTCGTAAATATGATGGATTACAAGATCCCGGCGGCACCTTTTCCAATTTCGAGATTTAGTAAGGGTACTTTGGTATTGCAAGAGCATTTATATATGCTCTTATGCATGTTTATTTATTTATGCCAACTCATTTGTTTAGCTATCAATTTTCTGTAGGTGCGAGTAGATTAGAACTAAATTGACAGGAGCAGTGGATGAAATCTCAGGAAGAGCCTGAATGAGTTCGGCGGGTTTGTTTTTAAGTTTCGTTCACATGCCGTTTTTGCTCTGAAGTTCTACAGATAAAATGTAATTTATGTTGATAATCAAATGATAATTGCTTTGTTTTTTTATCTCATTTATAAATTGCAGTTTTATTACAACCTCTAGAACTTGAAGGAAACATCAGTTTATGTGACCAATGTTATTGTACTAATTTAGTGGCATTCAGTACCTAAAATAACCATTTAAAGGAGTTTGTGCTGTCCTTCATCACTCACCTTTTTGTTACCCTGTCATGGTGCTTCTCCACGCAACTGAACGCTATAGTTTTGTGTTTGAGGGAACTCTTGCTGCGCAGTTGATGCTAACAAAGGTTTGAACGTATGTGAGAAGGCAACGTAGACTTTGCCCTTTAGTTGGACAGGCCGAAAAATTAATCTTGACGTGATGTTTGCATTGGTATCAATAAAAATGAATGTGCGCTTATGCTACAAAAGTTCTTTTTGTTCCACCATAATTGACTTTTGACTGCTCCAAGGGCTGCTCCAAAATGACTCAGACCAATCACATCACTGAAATCTTTAACGAAATCTGCATTTCATTACTATGTTAAAATATTCCAACAAAAATATTAACTATTAGGAATAATACCATGTTTTCGATGGGCTGGAGCGATGATAGACATTGCATGCCGATCTCATTAGATGTTCTTATAAACCACTTCAAAAGGATAACAGATCTTGCTCTATTTATACACTGTGCAGGACAATAGGCCAGCTCAAGCGGAGATTTCATTGCCTCCATGCTGAGTTGAGGATGCAGCCAGAGAGATGCTGCGACATCACTGTTGCCTGCTGTGTCCTGCACAACCTGGCCAAGACATACCCCTGCAGCATGCCAAGGACTGTCCTCCCCGAAGAGGTTCCCGTCGAGCCCGTGGCAGCGGGCCGTGATGAAAGCAACGAGGCTCGGGATGCCATCGTCAGCCAGTTCTTCGGTTGAGCGTAAGTATACCAATATATTGCACATGCTGCTTTGCATGGTCTTGAGTACCAGTGCATTCTGCTTGTTTTTAATTGGTCAAACATTGGAATACCAAATGTTGTTTCTGCGTTAGGTTGGAAGAGAGTGGAATTTTCGCCCACGCCATCCCCACATATTACGCTTGACTACTGCTGCCGATTACCCCGGCGCAGCGGGAACACGAATACCATAGGCTATGGTTCAGGGAGATACGAAGATAAATTAGGCAAATGATAAAATTAGCCAGACGATCTTCCGATGAGTACATGCAAGGCAGGCTTTTAGTCTTAGCGGCAACTGAGGCGCATACGAGGCTGACGGCGGTACGGACAGAGCACACGGAGATGGATCAGCAGTCAAGATTTCTTGAGCGTCGCAACTATTCGTGCTGTGACAAGGAACTAGAGCAAAAACCCTGCAAGCAGGCGGAGCCGCCGTTAGTTCTCGATAAGCAGATGAAAAACTTGTCTTCGCATGACACGTTTCGGCGCACCGATATGTTTGACGGAGCAAATATACCACATGGTTTCAAACAGGCTCGTGATTGGACCCGGCGGCGTGTAGCATTGGGCTTTAGTCCATCGTAGGACGAGACAGAGTATAGCAGATCTGAATCTAGAAATATACAGTTGCAAGTAAAATGGATTTTATTTATCAGCAGCTGTGTTGGCTTTGTCATATATATATATACATTCAAAATGAAAATTAAAAACAGCGTAATATGTCAATGTTTACTCTTCTCCTAATTGTTTTTTTAGCAATTTGATTTCCAATTCTGCACGCTGTGTTTCCAGTTGAATTAAATTTTTTTGGGTCCTCTAGTAATTTTTTTGACTGCTGGTAGAACTCCTCGGCAGCAGTTGCTGCTGCAATTGTTGCCGTGGCAGCTTGCTTAACCATTTCTGTGCTCTCCTTCTCCAGCAGGAGATTAGCTCCCTCGAGCTGCTGCTGCCTTTCTGTCTCCTGCAAGAAGCGCTGTGAAGCCTCCCGGCACCAACGTCGGCTGTATGGCACATTTGTTGGAGCCCGCTGCACCGCCTCCAGCGGCCGACTCTCGTGCAGCACTGCCGCACTTGCTCCGCTCCCAGAGGGACCAGGCTGTGGATCTATTCCCCTGGAGCTGTCACTGCGACAAATTCATGTGTAAAAAGTGGTCAGGTTTTGTTCTTGTCAGCATGGGCAAAGAGAACACACTGTGCAAAGTTTGTAACCCTGATAAAGACACCGATGCTGTGCCAAAATTCATTCATACGGGTTGGTACAGAGGACAAAGTTTGCGAGCCAAGTTGGTTTATACACTGACGCACAGGCTTGAGGTCGGAGCGCAGTGTTGTTACTTCTTGCACAATTGCCCAGTACATGGTGTAGGAAAATGTGCATTTGGTTGTGAAGAGCACACAGCTGCATTCTAAAGGTTAGAATGCAGCTGTGTAGCTATGCGATTAACAGTTCATAAATTTAGTGGTCACATATCCAGTCAAACCACAATGCACTGCACATTTATAGGACAACTTCAAACATTACAGCACATAGCTTCACTGGTATTGATTTCACTCACACAGGTTACCATCATGGGGGTAGTTAACTTCTTGACCAGAATGAAGTTAATGTTTGAGCCAATTTTCCTAAGTTGGTAAAACAAGCAACAGGATGGTTGTACTGTGTGTGATCTTTTAATTTGCATATTGAAAGCGTGCTACAGTTAGCATTAAAGAAAATCCATTGCCACTTTGTTGCATTTAATTTCTATAAGATGGTAATAAACAGCTTTACCACCTGATTTCTCATTGCATGCCGTGTTATTGCATGAATTTGTAGCTTCGGTGAAACTGTTTCAGCCTTGTTGAAAATAATTAGAAATGTGGTAGCGCTGGTGCCTCGTCAGATCTTAGAGTACACTCTGGAAGACGGTTTCGTGACTTATATTTCGAACCGCCTTTGAGCTTTTGTTGTTGAAATAGAACTGAAGCCAGATTCCCGGAACTTTCTTACGACAAAAAAGTTAGTAGATTTATCTTATGACAAATTTACGAACTTTTAAGTATTCCCGAAGCACAAAGATCGTAAGTTTTGCGCAAGCTACGGATTTCGTCAGAACTTGCGCAAACTTACAAACATTTTGCTTCGGGAATACTCAAAAGTTTGTAACTTTGTTGTAAGAAAGTTTCGGGCATCCGGCCTCTGGTCTTTATATAAAAGTACTCGGCAGTAATGCCATTCAAATGGCAACATGCCCATCTTCTTATCATCATTTGTCCTCGTCTTTTAGAACCTCGCCTGGAACGACAGTTCTGCATTACTGTGACCGGTTCCTTAAAACCATTTACTCTTCACACAATCGGGTCTAGAAACCAGTCACCTACTCTTCCGTGTCACCTATGGTGGCCTCCAACCCGCACAGGTTGGGCGAGTCCTCGCCGATCACTTCGAGGACGGCCTCGACGA